GGCGTTCAGTAATCAGGTTCAGTAATTCTCAGTGACGCATTGAACAATAGTCCTGGTTTGCGGACCGTTTGTTTTACTTACGCGAACTAAAATTCATTTTAAATGTTCTGTTAAAAGTACAGTCATTATCAAGTTCAACAATGACGCTGATAACGACACAATTAGAAGCTGATGGTTTCTTTTACACATCACAAGAGCATCATGTGTTTGCATCAGTTCAATAACAGCCTTTGTAATAATTTTCCAGGAAAAAAACTCACACGAGGCTGAACTGTGTTTTGAGTGTGCACTGAGTGTATCACTGCGAAAGTAAAATTGTATTTGTCAAAAACTTGCAACAAGCCGATTTTTTTCAGAAATTTTTTTTTGGAAAATCATATTTAAAAGGCTGTATAACTATATCGCTCCCAATTGATAGAAATGCAGCAAAAATCTGGAAACCTGAATAAATTTTGCAGAACCTAGAATAGTTTGTGGATTCCAAAAACACAAACTTTTTCATATGTGCAATGGAATGCGCTGTTACCGAATCCATTGTTAAAAAGCATACTCCGCTCGTTTTAAACGCAATTTGCAAAAGAACAAAGAAATAGTTTTTATTTGTGGGTTCCACAAACAATTTGCGGAAGTCATTAATAAAGGCTGGAAAGATAAGACTGTTATTCACTCCCTGCTAACTCTGCGACAAAAGTGAAGCATCAACAGATTTCGCGACGCAAAAAACCAGCTGCGGTTTTTTCAACTAGATGGTAAGTGGACTATAGGTACATGTTATAATATCTTAAAGAACATGTCTCAGGGTTTCATGTAGTTGTTTGCAACAAACAGCATGCCATTCAGGAGCAAAATTTGCCTTGTACTGGTACTTTATTCGAGTCCTTGCTCATAAAATTAGGAGTGCAGTAAGACACGTCAAACTAAATTTTTTGTGAGTTAAAAAGATTTTTTTTTTCAGCAATTTACTTAAGGTGAGCATGAGGATTCCTAAAATTTTCGAACAAGCAGAAATTAAATCGAACTACAAAATGTGTTTCTAAAAATGTGTTGCCTTGTGGTATTCGCCTATTATTACACTTTCTTCAACCAATTGAAGCATTTAACATAACTGTTTCAAGGACCCTACAGGGCAACAACACGTAACAAAAAAAGTGAAACAGCTTCATCAATTTTTAACAAAATTGTAATTTTAACGATACCGTAAAGCAACCAAATAATAAAGACTGACACACTAACTATTGTGATTTGACTCTTTGTTTTTATTTATTTCGCAAGATAATGGATTAGGCTAGAATGATACTTAAATTATTACTATGAAGTTGAAAAAACGAAAAAGTGAAGACAAAATGATTACGGATCTTTTTCGATAACTGATTTGCATCATCATGCGTTAAGACATAATGATTATTAAAGTTTTGTTTTATCAAAGTAGGAAAAAAAACAAGAAAAGTTCAAAAAAAGGAAAGTGCAAAAAAAGAATATAGATTTATAAGTACAAATTTGTGCATTACAGGCAGGTGTAACAGAAACTAACTGTTTTGATTTTAACTATGATTACTTCAACAGATATGCGAAGGCATACAAAACTTAGTGAAAAAAGTCGGAGAACAAAATTAAAGTTTTTTGAGCTCCCATTTTACCCCTACTAATTTTTGATTGAAAGATCCCATTTTAAAAATTACTTATATCAGTCTGAATTTTTAACTCAAAGTTATGAAAAATTTAAAAATGGTTCAACTGTTGAAAGTTTTAACAGCTCTTAAAGCATTTTAACCGGGCCTCTTTATTTTTAAAGGTCTGGTTGCTTTCCATAGGAGACGACTACAGAAAAACATAATTTTATATTAAATTGAAAGCAAATAAGCAGAACTTAACTAAACAAATCATTTTTTAGTGAAAATGAAAATTCGATGACTGACTAAAATAGGGCTAGTTTTTGTGCTGAGCAAAAAACATGTAACAACCTTTTAACGTATGCAAATTTATGGTTTTGGAAAAAACCTTGTTCTGAAAACCTTGTTTCTGAAAATGTCTTGCGAGATTTGAACAAAAGCCATTTTCAAAAAAAATGAGGTGAGCTCGCTTGCTGCAGAATATTGTTCAACCATTGGTTTGTCTCGTTGTATTCCTCTACTGAAAAGGTGCATTCGCAATTTAAACGTTTTTTTTTCTTAAAAAGTACATTATGCATCAAAATCAAAGTGTTAAGCGACTTGCTGCTGATCGAGTTTTTTTATATGTAGAACTTAATTACAACTTAGAGAAAATTATGCTTTTATGAAGTGAAAAAGTATATCCTATAACTTTATATACAAGTATATATAAATAAGTATGAAAGTTAAATTTGCTGTGACTGCATTTAGGTAATCTTCTACAGAGTATTCACTTTAGTGGTTTATTTGATGATATTGATGATCCACCCGTTAGGTATGGATTCATAGTCATCTGTAGTGATTCTGCGGCATTTGGCATTTGAGAAAAGTTTGTAAGTTGGCTTTTTGTTATTTCGTATTGTTGTAAATAATATGGCAGTGGGATTTCGTTATGCACTTGAGTCGGTTGGTATGATTGTGTATTAACTGGGTTTTGTTGTTGAAAATTGTTATTGTAAGATGTTGGATTATTTTTAGGTTGTCGTGTTTGTTCATTTCGTGTGCAAGGTTCGAAGATATCTGGTTGGTCAATACTGCAAGAACGAGGTCTTTGGCTTGGATAAAATTGTTGATGATTTTGATTGTAGTATTCTTCATCATCTGATGGAAAATAATTTGTTGTATAATAATCAGGTTGAATTCTGTTATGACAATTATTTGTATTGTTTTTATTTTGTTGAAAAAATGGGTAATTTTCACTTTGTTCTTGTGAGGATCGTGCTCAATCATGAAAATTTATTGAATTTGAAGTTGGTTGTGGTATATTCTGACTTTTTGATAATGAGTAGTTCTGAGTATTCATATTGGAAGGTTTTCGTAGTTTTGACCTATTTACATAGTTATAATTATGTTCAGCGAAATTATTTCTATGTGATGTTTTTTGTTTGTATGATGGTTTTGTTACTGTTTGAAACGTTTGGTAATCCATTTGCAAATTTTTTTGGACAACAGAGGGTTTCACTGTGGATTGTATAATTGTTTGTTGTAGCGTTGGGTTTTTTAGCTTTGGAGTTGTAAAATTTGGTTGAATCGGTGAAATTCTTCGTTGTGATTCTGTCGTTGTTATTGTTTCAACTATTTCTTCGCTTACAAAATGAATTGGACTTTGTATATCTTCTTGTGTGAGAGTTCTTGTTCCATTTAAGTTGTCATTATTTATAAAGGTAGAGTTTAAACTATTATTTCCTGATCTTTCAGGGAAGAATGAATTATAGTTCAAAGGTGTTGCGTCAATTGTAAGTGGATAAAGTCTAACATAATCTTTGTAAATAAAGATTGTGCTAGTTTCTTGACTTGATATATCTGTTGGTATTTTAATAAATGATTCATGAGACCATTCAGAGTGCCAAACAGAATCTGATTGTTCTGCTAGTACGGTTTCGTCA